ACAGACACCCTAGATTTGCCCCATTGCTTGCCTGGGTGCATGTAAACCTCCCGTTAAACCGCGTTTGCGATCCATTGTTCTGTGGTAGTATAGATAACTAACTCCTGCTCAACTCAAAAAAAAACAGCTCTTCTACCTGGTGATTCCATTTCCCTAAAACAGGGGGCACCCCTGAAAAGACACTGTGTTCCTTTCGGATTTCCTTTCGGTGTTCCTTTCGGCTTTCCTTTCGGTTTTCCTTCAAGTGTTCCTGTAAAAAACAAAGAAAGGGGTGTGCCAGCCATTGTTTTTAAAGTTCTTCCACCTAGTGATTCCAAAAGAACAACAGAAACCAATGCTGTGAGTGGTGAACACTTGTGTTACGCGTACATTGCCACAACTCAGGGCGTTGGCCTCCCCCTCAAAAGCAAATGGGCACCGAAAAAGCGACGATCGAGCCATGCGTCGATCTCGCCTGACGGGCAGCCGCCGGAGTGGTGCTCGCAGCACCAGGTCTTCTTGGCCTCGAGAAGGCGAGACCGCTGGGATGGGGAAGCAACCCGAGCGAACGACGCAAACGGAGTATGACAAGGAAGAGAGCAACGAAGGAACGAAGAAAGGAAGGAAGGAAGGAAGGAAGGAAGGAAGGAAGCAAGCAAGCAAGCAAGCAAGCAAGCAAGCAAGCAAGCAAGGAAGCAAGCAAGCAAGCAAGCAAGCAAGCAAGGAAGGAAGCAAGCAAGCAAGCAAGCAAGCAAGGAAGCAAGCAAGCAAGCAAGCAAGCAAGCAAGCAAGCAAGCAAGCAAGCAAGGAAGGAAGGAAGGAAGGAAGCAAGGAAGCAAGCAAGCAAGCAAGCAAGCAAGCAAGCAAGCAAGGAAGGAAGGAAGGAAGGAAGCAAGCAAGCAAGGAAGAAAGCAAGCAAGCAAGCAAGCAAGCAAGCAAGCAAGCAAGCAAGCAAGGAAGGAAGGAAGGAAGCAAGCAAGCAAGCAAGCAAGCAAGCAAGGAAGCAAGCAAGCAAGCAAGCAAGGAAGCAAGCAAGCAAGCAAGCAAGCAAGCAAGCAAGCAAGCAAGCAAGCAAGCAAGCAAGCAAGCAAGCAAGCAAGCAAGGAAGAAAGGAAGGAAGCAAGGAAGGAAGCAAGCAAGCAAGCAAGCAAGCAAGCAAGCAAGCAAGCAAGCAAGGAAGCAAGCAAGCAAGCAAGCAAGCAAGCAAGCAAGCAAGCAAGCAAGCAAGCAAGCAAGCAAGCAAGCAAGCAAGCAAGCAAGCAAGCAATGAAGGAAGGAAGGAAGGAAGGCAATGAAGGAAGGAAGGAAGGAAGGAAGGCGGAAAGGAGCAGGAAGGAAGGAGTGATGGGAGGGAGGGAGGGAGGGAAGGAGGGAGAGAGGGAAGGAAGGAATGAGGGAGGGAGGGAGGGAGGGAGGGAGGGAGGGAGGGAGGGAGGGAAGGAAGGAAGGAAGGAAGGAAGGAAGGAAGGAAGGAAGGAAGGAATCAAGGTTGGAAGGAGGTTACCAAGAAACAAAGAACCAAAGAACCAAAGAAAGAAAATGGACAAAAAGGAAACAAATGAAAAGAAGGGCACCAAGCAAATGACACACCTCCACACGCACCTAGCGAAGAAATGTTTAAGATTGGTCATGGCTTTCTGCCAAGGCCCGGGTAACTGCTACCCCGAACTTCGATTTTACCAAAGGATGCATGAAAGCCAGGCGGCCCTGGTGGGTCCGTGTCAAACCGGTCCCTATGGTCCTATGGTTCTCCATTTCGTTTCGCTTCACTAGCCTGAAGCGGCAAAAGGCCCTGGCTGGCTCCACGTTTTGTATGCTCAGAGTCCAACTTTGGATGCATTGGGCAAAGGCTACGAGATGCGAACGGACGCCAGGCGCGGGAGCGACAAGGTATGGAAAAATGCGCCAAGGCTGGGGGAGCAGACGATGCATACCAAAAAAAAATGCAGGAACTGCAGCGGCCGATGGGTCTGGGGATCGATGGAGGAACAGGTGGAGGTGATGCAGGACATTCAAGGGAGGTGGGATGCAGGGAGTTCACTGGACGCAGAGATGCGGGGGTGCGTACTGCAGGGGATCACGAGAATGCTCAGGATGCATAGATCAGAAGCGGGAAATGCAGTAGGAACAAGGGGAAAGCGAGTGGCCAAGCAGTAGACCATGAAGGGGGCATGCACAAGGGATGCAGAGAATGCAGCGGATGCAGGAGATGCAGTGAATGCCGCTGATGCAGGATGCAAATGATGCAAAACATGCAGTGGATGCCCTGGACGCGCGGCATGCAGGGGATGCAGCTGATGCGGGTGATGCAGTGGATGCAGCAGTGGAAGCGATGCCATATTGGTAAGATGGGTTGATTTACCTGTTGATTTGTGGAAGCCAGATGTTCAAAGCAAAAGATCGAAGCAAGCAGCCAAGCACTCCAAGTTCAAGGACCCCCAGAAGCTGGGGCGTGATCTGTCCACCCATGGCCCCCAGGGCACCCGGAGCAACTTTTAATTCGGGAGTTCACCTAGTTCCAATCCTTTTCGAGACAAACCCGGGACAGCGCCTTTAACGCAAAAACTCTCTGTGGGGAGAGTCCAAATCGAAGGTAAGGATCTGAGAGAAAAGCAAGGTGAGAATTAGCCTTCTTCGCCAATCACCCCTTCATTGCAACATGAATGGGCGCCGGTGGGATTTGCAGGATGATTTTCGGTCATCAGATGGCGGCGTGAGGGTGCGCTGCCATTGCGCTGCGGACCCTTAACACCAAGTAAGTGGCCTTGACGTTGTGCCACCAGAAAACAAATCTTTTGCGCGACCTTCAAACAGGTTTTGGTGGGGATAGGACCCCCCCCAAACATCAGGACAGGTTTGTGAATCCGGGGGCAACACTCGGGGGCACATCATCTTTTGCCCCGTAGAATTTTATGACGAAAAGCCCGTCACACGACTTAATGAGCATTGAGGGGCGTTCCCTACAAAACTAGCGGCAGGCAAGTCCGGGGTCAACATTCCCAAACATGAAAGATTGGTTTTGAGGGCAGCATGGCATGCTTCAGCTGGCTAGCTCCAGAGCAAGCGCTGCCCCAAGAGTGCGGAAATTTGCAAGCAACATTTCGAACATGTACAAGATGTATCCAAATCTGTCTGGCCCCAAAGGTGAGCAAAAACCGTACGGGTCGACGAGTCGATGTCCAGCAAACCCCGGAAATGGGTCGAAACCCTTCTGGAAAGTTTCTATTGGCCAAAGGAAAGGGTCCCCAACTTGAAGATGCCATGTATGTGAACGGCGTTTTATGCCCGCCTCGTGAGCCCTAGGCTCCATCTCATGGAATAGCTTCCCTTACATCGAACACGATGGGTTGGACATGAAAAGCTTGTCACCTAAACTGGGCGAAGAACAGACGCGCCTAGACATACCCAGACGCACGGTTGATGCCCTACAATTACACCAAGTGAACCCACCCGCAATGAATATTTGGTGGTTTGGATTGGTGGTTTGGTGGTTACGAGGTGGTTTCCTATCTCAACTAAGGGATCCCTAACCTTCGAAGAATAGCGGCAAACCAGTCTCCTTGAAATGGGAATCAATCACTTTGTCATAGGGGGTGATTTTCCGATTAGCTTCGAGTTTTGTTGCCAAGCACTGGGAAAGACCTGAACATCCCGGCGCCCTGGTAAACACACCCCAATTCATCTTTTTCGTTGTGGACGCCCTTTTGCTTGATTGAAAGGGAACAGGGGGAGCCAACCATTTTCGGGGTCCCCTTTTTTGAGACCACTTGGTTTCCCCATGATTTTTTTTGTGTTCGAAGGGAGATTCCCTTGGCCAAAAACACAGACACAAAAAACACGTCCGCCAGCGTCCGCGGCCAAAACCCCGCTGCCTCGGACCAGGCGGCCTCCCAGTTGTTTCGCGCCGCCGCGCAGTCGAACCTCACGACGTAGGTCAGGAAAATAGGGGAACCTATCTGGTTTGCCTCTGCCTGGTGGTGTTTGTTGAGTTTTCTGCTGGTTTTCCTGGGCTTTTCCCCTGGCTTTCCTCTGCTCCTGTGGTTTTCCTCTGGCTTTCCTCTGGCTTTCCTCTGGTTTTTGTTTCTGGTTTTCCTTTAAAACAATGATGGGCTAGGGCCGGTTCTTTCCTTTGTTTCTAGGGCCGGTTCTTTCCTGGCGCTGGTTTTTCTTAGGGCCGGCAACATCCCCAGCATCAACTGGACAAGGACCTTCTGGGTTGTATCCTCAGTTTTCTGCTGGGGACCTTTTGGCAAATCTTCTGCATCCCCAGCATCATCAGCCTCACTTGCACATAGAGCTGGGTGGCAGTTGCTTGCGGGTCTTTGGCTGGCTTGGGGTTCATTTAGGCTCAGCAAAGGGGTGATATTTCGGGTGCTGTTGGGGTGGGCTCAGGGTTGACTTTGGGTGAGTTTGGGGCTAGTTTAGGGGTCAGGATTGGTTTTGGAGCGTTGGTCGCCCCAAACCAGGAGAAAAAAAAACTAGCAACCCTAAGGACTCTGCTAAACCAGCAGCACACCTGACGCAAATCAGGCCCAAACCCACGCAGAGTCAGCCCTGACACTCAACAGCAGCCTGGATGTCAGCCCTTTGCCGAGCCAAAATGATGCCGGCAACCATCCAACCAACCAGCCAGCCAGGAAACCAGACCTAAGACGACAAGCACCTCATTTTCCAGAATGGCACCCTCAAACTGGACACCGTGCCCGGGAAAGGGATGAGTCCCTCCCCAAAAAGGACGACACGCCTAGGGAAGCCAAAAGGTTCCGATTCGTGACACATCGGTCGGTCCAGGAGGTGAGAAGCGAGGAAACTGGAGAAGGACCCTAGGGTCCCTCGGACACCTTTACCGGAGGCTTCTTTCTTTGAGGATGCCTTTTGGGAGCATGTTTGCTGGGTTTTGGGAGGCAGCCAAAAGGAAAACCATCAGGAAAACCCGATCTTTTGAGACCTGCATCCTTCAAAAGAGCCCTGCCCGATGTTTTGGCTGTGGCACTGATCGGCGGGCGCCACACAGCCTACCTTCAGCTCGGCGCAGCAGAAGGCCTCGCAAGCTCGCCGCGCGCGCACAGTCGGGGCGGCTGTGGACAAAACAGACGTGGGAGGGGTCGACGGATATCTTAAAGGTCCAACTCAGGGTTGTGGGGAATGACCACTTCCCTTGTATCACAGAAGTGGGGAAAAACCCCGAGTGATCCCACAACCCTGGTCCAACTCAACTTGGGGAGGGGTTGCGACCGGAATCTCTGGGGTAGGGGTTCAACATTTTGAGGGAAAGTTGTTTCAAGTCTAACCCAGTTCAAGGTTCCGGTTTTGGGGGGCTCACCCAAGTGTCTGTTTGGGGTAGTTCATACGGGAAAACCAAGGGAACAAACGAAGCCAACTTAAAAGGGAGCCCCCATGAAACACCCACGGTGTTGAACCAATAAATTGGTCTTCACTTGTTGGCTCGCAGCAAGAGATGAGGAAATCACCCATATCATGTCCATTCCCTGGTGATTTGCAGGTTCTGGGGAACTTCTTCCTCTGGCTTCCCGAAAGGGCGGTTTCCCAAACCGCCAAGAACTTTTTGGAGATGTGATTCTTGGGGGTACATCAGGGCACAGGTTCTCATCAGGTTGTCGAAGCCCTATGGTCCCAATACCTTGATATTTTTGAGGTTCAAAGCCCTTCATATTCAGGATCTTGGGCTCCCAGGGAAAGAACAATCACCCATTCGTTAGGGTCGTGGCTCCAAATGCAGGATATGCCAAGGCAACATGTGTGTGGCGTCCGAAAGGAACCATCTGTTACTCATTTAGAGTCACCCAAGTGTGGGATATAGGGGTTGATCAAAAGGTGCTTTACATGGGATGACCATTGGGAAAACCACTAAAACGATGACACTTCCCACTAAATGGGACAGTTACCCATGATCGGGCCGGGAAGATTCAACCCTCATATGCCAACATGCCAACACGCCAACGTGCAGTCATGGCAACCGGGTCTGTCTCTGAGGCTTCCCCCTTTTCTGTGGCTTTTAATGTTGACCCCATCTGCATCAACCCCAGCTTATTCAAAGGGTGTCCCTGGGTTTCGTGGGGGAAGGACACACCTAGTACTAAACCGGGGTTCATACTGTGGATGAACGAGATCCTGCACCACCTCAGAGACCCTAAAAAAAAAATTGACTCCCCTGCAAATACCAACGAACCATGGCTTCCCATCCACAGTTTCTTTTGGGGGCTTAGCATTTTTCGGGAAGCCAAGAGGCCACGCGCCCTGGAAATTCCCACCTCAAAGCGACACCCGCCCGCCCGCCTTTTTGGCGTCCGACCAGGAGGCCCAGCTCGCCACCCCATCCGTGCAGTCGAACCTCGCACGAGAAATTAGCCCGAAAACCACGCGGAGAAAAAATCGCGGAGGGGCTGGGTCGGCGATTTTTTTTGTTTTTTCTTGTGGGGACACACCCAAAGAAATGGGCCTCGGGTGCTTGTTTTGCATTTGTACCAAAAAAAATGGGCTTGCCTAAAACAGAACACCCATGAGGACGTCCAGAAAAGCCGTCGGAACCCGATCTTGACCTTGTGGATGGCCGAAATCTTCTTAGGCACCACCTAAGAAACCCTGGAATGAGTTGATTCCCCCGCAAATATCAGCAAACCTTGTGGTTTCACATGGATTCATGGTGCATCATTGTTTCAACCATGTTTTGAGGTACCCTTCTTTCACGAAGGGAAGCCGATGACAAACCCGATGCCTGTTTGAACCCGCCGTTAGAGTAGAACCCAAAGGTTGCGAAGAGTTTGAATCTTTCTCTGTGCTTTGGGGGATCCTGTTGGCTACGTCTACGAGGCCCGCCCCCTTTGGAAGAGGGATCAACTCCGGGCCCATTCACAACCATCTGGAATCTAGGGATCCCCCCACAAAAGCAGCCTTCTGGTAAGCTCATTCACCCACCAGGTGAGCGAGCTGTACAAACTGGCCAGAACCATGGATCGTCTAAGTGGTTTGAACCTCCAGGTAGCTCAATCGCGATTAGTTTCCACCTTCTCTGTTCTTGGATGTTCAGCCCCTGATTCCAATCTCCAACTCTTGCGGCAAAGAACGTTACAAGTTGGATTGGTTTGACGAGGCCTCAGGCCATATGAGAATGCCAACTCATCGCGCTGGCTTGAACCTGCAAACATGTATGTCCAGTGACGGTGGCTGTGAACAAAGTGGCCATGCCCAACTTTGTGGTCGCGATGCTCATTGATGGGAAGGATCAATCATGCTGGCAGGCTGTCTCGTGAAATTTGCGGATGAAATGGGTGTAGCAGCGCGATTCTTTCCACGTGTGCATTCTCACTGGGGACCTGCTTTGTATTGGCACGTTCTTGGCAGTCTGATGTTGACCAGAGAGTCCTTGACGGTCGGGAGAAGCACACTCTACACCAATCCGCAACGGTGTGACGAAACGATGCGATTCTCATATGTAGCGTTGCACACACGCATGTGTACATACAAAAATAGAATATTCATATAACATACATACCTATAAGTGTGGACCTTGTATACCATATGCTTCGATGCCCCATATACCTCTTACTTCCCCTACTTGGAGGACCAACCCCCACTCCCAAATCCCCAGTCAAGCCGCCCCCCAACCGAGCCAGGCGGCCAAAGCCCTGGCGAACACTTTCAGGAAGAGGAAGCCAACCATTTTGGGGAGGGTCCCCGGAAAAAAAGGGAAAAAAGGACACCGGCCCGCTTTAAAAATGAAACTTATGTTTAAAGAAAGCTATTGAGTGCTCCACATGTTGGCCAAATTTGCTTTCTTTTTCAGCAAAACCAATTCTCGCTTGGTCCTGCCCACATGCCCGGAACGTTTACTAAATGGCCGGGGGTTTTGGGTGCGAAACTCGAGGGCCTATCTGATGCTTAGTGACTGGGTTGCCTGCCTCTCCTTCTGTATGTCACCAAAATAAGGGGTCTGGATAAATACAGAATTGCCCTTCCCCCGTTCTACTTCCATTAATATCTTCGTATGAAATAACAATAAACAAATCCGGGGCTATTTAGTACCGATATACTTGCGTCGCATGAGATGTGGAACCCAACATGGGCTTCGGTGTCGTGAAGTTCCAATTTCAACCCCTTCCCAAGGGAAGAAAACCACAAAATCCAAGAACCAAAGAGCACTGAGCCTCGGAGAAAGGGTGGAATTGTCAACCCCAAACCTTGAAGCCCCACCCCGGGGTACTGAAGAAGAAAAGAAGTCCAGAACTCTAGGGGTTGATTCCTTTTCCATTCTTTTCAGCCATCGTTCTTTTCAAAAACCAGCCATGTCCCCAGGGTGTTTGGTGGTTTTCTAGAAAGAAGGATCCCTGGAAAGAACGGGGAAGTTGCCCCTACAAGTGTTCATTCGTCAACCCTCCAAAGTGATATAACTTCGTGAGGCGATCCCAGAACTAAGAGGACAACACATGTTTTCCGTGCCAGGTATCCTCCAAACAAAACACACTAGTTTGAATCTCAAACACCTGGCGCGACTTCCCGTGGAGAAAGTAGAGGGCCATTGTTTGGGAAGTCCGCTCTTCTTGGAAACAACTCAGGCAAACCCAACCAAAGAGGCCCACGCTTTGTTGCCATTCACAAACCCAGTTTCCTTGTTGCCTCTGAAACGTGCCCCTGAAACTGACCAAACTGGCAAAAACTGCAAAACGGGTTTCGACGAATAAAACGTCGCCTGTCGGACTGTTGGCGAGCCCAATTGGCATGGAGTTAGTTGGGCAACTCCCCGATTTCAGATACACGGGGGCTCCGAAAACGATGCTTTTGGCCTTGGTGTTCCTTCAAGCCACAACGGGTGCCCTCCAAGACCACGTGGAACCACCCCAAGGGTAACCTAAAAACATGCCACACCCATAGGTGCTCGTGGCCTTTTTCTGGTCCGCAGGAATCCGTTGAGTGGAGCCAAAGCGCTCAAAAAGCCAAAAAGGGCCCTCAAAGTTACTCAAGTCCAGGAACTCAGGGAGTGAAATGGCTGTGGGTCAAAACCCTGTACCCCTGGTGAACATCAAAATAGGTTGCAAATGGATGTTCATCAAAATGGAGCCATAGGATATGCCCCATCCCCAATGTCTCCTCGAAACGAAGTCGCAAAGGCAGATATCAAAGCTGCCACTTGGAGCTTAGCTTAACCTTGCATCTCCTGCGAGTGACACTTTAAAAAAAAGAAGGTCAAGTGAGGAAAACATGTTCAAGAAGACTATGCGGGTTGGTAAAGGTTTGATGTCACGGGTTTCGCGAGCTGCTGCCACGAGACTCACACGTACGAACACGGATTAATGGCATAGATTTCCCGATGGGGCAGACTGATGTTGACAGCGTGTCGTTCACTGCTGGGTATGCTCCAGCGAAGCTGCGAGACGGAAGTGTCTAAACAAACCTATAGGAAAGCAATCTGCTTCGCAAATTCAGTGTGGATGCAGAACAACTTGCACGGGGCAGCGCAGGGCAAAGTACATAGAGCGCATTTTACAGAGCAATTTCCCCATTGCGATTTGCACAGGGCAATGTGAACACAGCGACTTGCACAGACCAATTTGCACAGAGCAACTTGCGCACAGCAACTTGCACAGAGCCACTTGCACCTAGACGGGGCCTGCACAGAGCAAGTTGCACAGGACAAGCTGCACAAAGCCAATTGCACAAAGCCACTTGCACAGCGCCACTTGCGCGGGGCAACTTGCACAGTAGAGCAACTTGCGCCAAGCAACTTCCACCGAGCAACCGTCACCCACAGTTTTGGTTTGAAAGTCGCAACTGTTAAGTGCAAAAATAGTACGCAAAACACACTCCCGCAGCTCTGGTCGCTTGAAAACTGCAAGTTGCTCTGGGCAAGTGGCTTTGCGCAGTGCTGTGCGCAAGTTGTTTTGCGCTAATTGCCCAGCGACATCTGCTCTGTGCAAGCTGCTCTGCGCAAGGTGTTCCTGGATTTTGTTTGTTATGCAAGTCGCTCTGCGGCCTGCTGTGTGCAAGCTGCTTTGGTTGGGACTTT